ATCAAAATTAAAGAATATGTTATATATATATAGGCTTAAAAACCTAAGGTATATAGTTACTCGCAAAGATATCAAAATTAAAGAATATGTTATATATATATAGGCTTAAAAACCTAAGGTATATAGTTACTCGCAAAGATATCAAAATTAAAGGATATGTTATATATATATAGCGCTCTTCATAGTATCATCACGAAGAGTGCTAGCTCGAAACATCATCCTCTTCAAATAAAAAAATATATAAAAAACTTGGCGATATTTTTAATGTTAAAAAACGTTTACGCCATATATATTATATACAAACACACATACTATGTTTTCTAGAAATTCAATGACCCAAATCTAGAATAATATACCAAAAACCTTGGAAAATTAAAACTAAAAGTTCAGGAACTAGTTGTTATACCTACGCGCAAGATGCGGATCTATCATCAGGTAAGAACACAACGGACTTCTTGTGCACTACACGGAGTAAAAGGGGCATGTGAACGTAGTAGGCAACGCATCCCTATGTATGTAGAAAACAATTGACTATATATACATATATATATATAATACTACATAATTTTAAAATACTCCGAGGGTCTTAAAAGTGAGGTGCGGTTACCAAGCGTCAGCATCCTCCAGTGTTACTCATAGTTGAACGAAGTCAGCGCGTGGCAAGACAACAACAACAACAACAAAAAGCGGTCGGTACAAATGGGAGAAAGCAGGCGTCTACGAATCCACTTCCTATACTATAGCATTCTCAGTTGTAAACCGGGGAAACCTACTCTCGTGGAGGGGTAAACCACACGTGCACAGCACTGAGAACGAAAAGATTACTCAAACCAAATTTTATAGACGTCAGGGAAGAACGAGGGGAAACTGTTGTGTTTTCCTTCTGCACCGATGACGTCATCGTCCTGTAGAACATGTATCCAAACAGCCACGTGCGTCACTATAGTTCAGTTTTTTCATTTTCTTTACAATTCTTTTTACGAATATTAACATTTTCAATACTTCACAAATTGAACCCTTGTTGAAGAAAGTGGTAATAACGCACATCCTCAGGGCTCTGCGTTTTCTGTTTTTATTTTATTTGATTTTTCCTGCGATTTTTTTCGGAGTTTATTATTACATCATAAACAGATGTAAGCTGGTGACAAAAAAACAAAACAAAACAAAAAACTACTAATAACTTTTCTGAGTAAATATTGAGGTTTATTTTGGTTGGCGGAAGGATAGGGGGGAAAAAAAGTATTCGGTAGATTTATGCTTTGATGAACG